TCTACGGGTAGAATTAGGAGTATTATATTGATTTATTATTATTTTATTATAAAACCCTTATATTTATTTATTGAAGTGTAATGTCTATTATGCTCACCACGCTTTACACGTATGTCCAAATTTAACAAACTATATATCGTTGGTCATCATTTTACGAGATCTACCCAAAAACCCAATTTTCATTTAAAACGGATAACTTTAACAATAATTCATATTTTTGAGTAAATAGGTTTAATATTTATTTTTAATAAAATAACAGCTAACTACTAAGCCGGTTTTCGGGTCGTTACATTTCTCTCCCCCTTAAAAGGAATTTTGTACCCGAAATTCTTCTAAGGTAAAGAGTGAACTTTATAAATGCATTTCAATTTAATTTTTTTTTCAACGATATGTGTACCTTTTCTATGTAAAAGAAATCATTTTAATCTTTGATCAAATGTTTTTCTGATTCATTTCTTTTGGTTTGAAATCACCATGTTGTTTTCCTCTAAGTAGTTAAAAGGACAATCAAACATATATTTTTTTTTGTGAAAAGTCAATTGTCACTTTAAAGTTTAGCAATTCTGCTCAAGATTGATTGGTTAAATTTGACCAAATTTTTTTTTTGAAGTCGCCTACGCGTTTGCTTCAACACGTGACGCATTATTATTATTTCTTTTTTTGTAATAACATGATCGCACTAGTCGTCATGGATAATTATGATTTTTCTTATAACCAACATTTTTGTTTAAACTTCTACAGAGTATATTATTTCAATTTTCTCTTGCTTAAATTTTTTTTTCTTTACACAATGTTTTTTTATAACTCACAAATTAATTGACAAACAAATCAACTAACAATCAAGACGATAATTTTTACATAAGGGCATAATAAAAGTTTAGAGTTACCTCCTAGGGCAGAGGAGTTGCGAGAGATGCGGATGCTACTGCTAAAGTACCTTGTAACCAAATCAACACTTTTTTTTTGAAACATTTTTTTTTGAAATTCTTCTTTTGAAAGGGTCCGAAAACCGATTTTAAAACCACTTGCTCTGATACCAAAATGTAACACGCCAACCCGCGTGACCCGAATACAAGGACCAGCGGACCGGGTTATCACTAGATTGGCGTTCAAACACAATAATTTCCAAAACAATTTAAAACATTTAATTCAAAACAATATTTAAATATCCATCAGAGTAAATCAAAACGGTGCGGAAGCCTTTAAGTACTTAATCAAAATACAACTTTGGGTTCTGCCCTTAAGAATATAATAATTCAAACTTAAATATTAAATAAGATAACTCCTCTAGCTAGCATCCATCCATCTCTTCGCCCTCGCTGCCTCCAAGACCGTCTCATTATCCATCGTTCCTGTTACCTGCGTGTAGCAAATAGGAAAAAGGGCTACACGCTCAGCATTGAAGCTGAGTGGAATCTATCTAACGTTTCGACTACGCACATAGACGAACCCACTAGCTCATAACTTCATACAATATCATGCACACAAGTTCAACAGTAATTATATCACATAACAATTATCAGATAAAACAACTATATTATAACAACATACTTTAGATCACTTACCTTTATTCTTCATCTGCACAAATCAAAATTCAGGTCATTACATTAACCCATATCCAACACTAGCTCATAACCTATTCTAGGCTAAGGCCAATTACTCATTATCCACATTCTTATCTTAGGACTTAGAGCCACTACCTACGGCCACGACTCAAAGTCTATTCTATGACATCAGAACCACTACCTACGGCCATGATTTTGGTCAACACGGTACCTACGGCGCCGGTTGGGTGGAACCTCCAATCCTACGGATCAGATCCGAGATTCCATGTACGTACATCTTTACCCGAATGCCACTGGACTAAGTCCACAAGGCTGTACACCTATTGTCAACTTACAATCTCAATTCTCATAAAGTAGTCCTAGAGTTCATCAAGGTAACCTATCTCATTAACTTACTTCAATTATACAGATCCAGGCTAACAACAACTTCAATTTACTTCATCTGTTTGAGGCATATCACAACACATTTACAATATATCAAGAGAGTAGAAGTAGCTAAATAAAACATCATGCAATCCAAATAACGGCCTAATGTCAAGTGTAAACACCTTCCATTTACCGTCATGCAACACATAAAGTCTAAGAGTCAATGCGGGTTCCAAATTGGGTCAAACAGTCAAACAACGAAGATTTGCAGCTGTCGGTACGGTACCCGTCACGGTACCTCGGCACCGTCTGGCGGTACCTGGGTACCGTCAGTACGGTACCGTCCTACCCTCGGGTTTCAGATACCGATAGCAACGTTTTGACCTGAGGCGGTAGCTGGGTACCGTTAGGCGGTACCAGGCTACCGTCTGGCGTCGGGAATTTCCTAAAACAACTCAGTTCGATCCAATTCCAAATCATTCATTATGTATTATGTTTTTTTAAAGATTATTATCATGCAAAACACACCAATTAAAGAAAGCATACCTGGTCGTCCTCGTTCAATCAATTTCAACAATAACATATAACATAGATAAATCACAATTTAATTATAAACAAATAAACCACGTAATCAATCATACGAAACTACGAACGTGAATTTCAAATCTATATACAAAATCTAGGGTTAGATGTGCAAGTTCTGACCTCGATTACTTAGACAAATTAAACAAAACAAGAATCAATTGGTCGGGCTGTTTCCGGCGATCCCCGCGGCGGCGGCACAACAGCGGTACGGTGGTCAGCGGCTGTTGACGGAGCAGTGACAACGGATCAGAGTTTCTTCTTCTGCTTTGTTCTTCTTCGGCGGCGACCAGTACTCCGTATATGTTTTTTTTCTTTTCTTCTCTCCCTTCAATTGTGCGTGCGTGTGTATATTTAAGGGGATGGGTTTGGCAATCCCTCTACGGGTAGAATTAGGAGTATTATATTGATTTATTATTATTTTATTATAAAACCCTTATATTTATTTATTGAAGTGTAATGTCTATTATGCTCACCACGCTTTACACGTATGTCCAAATTTAACAAACTATATATCGTTGGTCATCATTTTACGAGATCTACCCAAAAACCCAATTTTCATTTAAAACGGATAACTTTACCAATAATTCATATTTTTGAGTAAATAGGTTTAATATTTATTTTTAATAAAATAACAGCTAACTACTAAGCCGGTTTTCGGGTCGTTACAGAGAGAGGAAGGGGGAAATACAAAATACATTGAATGTAGACATGAGGAAGCTTCCTAGCAACATCCTCTATCAAAGCATGGGGCATTCTTCATTCAAACCTGT